TTGAGACAAGGTCTCCCTGTGGCCCCAGCTGGCCTGGAACCATTTTAATTATGTGTGTGTGAGTGTGAGTACGTGCCCTTGGAGGACAGAAGCATCAGATCCCCTGCAGCTGAAGTTACAGTTGGTTGTGAGCCACCTGATATGAGTGCTGGGAACTAAATACAAGGAGTATATGCTCTTACCTGTTGAGCCATTTCTCCAGCCCTCATTCTAAGGATTTAGGCAAATTCTCTACCACTGAGCTATATTCCCAGTCCCCCCGCCTCTTTTTGTCGTTTTTTGAGAAAGGGTCTCCCTGTAGCCCTAGCTGTCCTGAAACTCACTTTGTAGACCAGGCTGGCCTTGAACTCACAGAGATCGCCCGCCTCTGCCTCCTGAGTGCTGGGATTAAAGGTGTGCACCACCTCGCCTGGCTCCCAGCCCCTCATTTTGTTTTTTTGGGTTTTTTTTTGCCTTTTTGAAGCAGGGTCTCCCTGTAACCCCAGCTGTCCTGGAACTCACTATGTAGACTAGGCTGGCCTTGAACTCATAGAGATCCGCCTGCCTCTGCCTCCCAAGTGCTGGGACTACAGTTGTGCGCCATCACGCCCAGCCCAGCCCCTCTTTTTAAAAAAATTTTTGAGACAGTTCACTAAATTACTCAGGATAGCTTTAAACACACTCTGTAGTATATGGCCTCCTGCCTCAGATCTCCCCAATAGTTGGGATTACCAACCTGTACCACCAGGCCCAGCCCAAGAATCCATTCTTGCTACATTTTATGTCATAGGCCTGGAATTCCAGAACTCTTGAGGCCAAGGCAAGAAGATAAGGGGTGCTAGGCCAGTCTAGACTACATAGTGAGGCCCTGTCTCAAAAAAGAAAAGGGCCGGGATATTCCTTAGTTGGTAGAGTGCTTGCTTAGTGTGCATGACGTACTGGATTTGATCCCCAGTACTGCAAAAAACCATACAAGATAGTGTTCATGTACAATCCTAGCACTTGGGAGGTAGAGGCAGGAGGATCAGGAGGATAAGGTAATCTTTGGCTATGTAGAGCATTTGAAGCCAGTCTGGGCTACATGAGCCTGTGTCAGGGAAGGAAGGGAAGGAGGAAGGGAGAGAGTCACTCTTGAAGGCAGAAGACCCAGGTGGAATATTGTAGAACAAACATAAAAGTTGAGAGGAACAATATGAGAAAAAGTGAATTTAATTCATAAATAGCAAGAAAATTAAGTGGATTTAAAAAGTCCAATATCAAAATGTTGAAAACTTTTGTTCAGACTCGTACAAAAGCACCCTGGTAGCCGGGCGTGGCGGCTCATTCCTTTAATCCCAGCACTCAGGAGGCAGAGGCAGGTGGATCTCTGTGAGTTCCAGGACAGCTGGGGCTACAGGGAGACCCTCTCTCAAAAAGACAAAAACCAAAAAACAAAACAAAAGCACCCTGGTAACTTCTGATAAGTAATTACGTCTGATATATTCAGTCTAGCTATATAAGGCTGTCCCTCAAATTTGCAATCCTCCTGCCTTAGGCTACCAAATGAAGATATTATAGAAATGTGCCATCATTCTCTTTAAATATTCATTGTTTTTAATTATGTGTAAGTTGTGTGTGAGTGCAGGTGCTATGGAGTACAGAGGCATCAGATACCCCTGGAACTGGAGTTACACACAGTTGTCAGCCATCCAGTGTGGGTGCTAGGAACCAAACATTGGTCTTCTGTAAGAGCAATATACCCTCTTCACTACTGAGCCATTTCTCCAACCCCCTAACATTTTTTTCAATTCAATAATTATTAAATGGTAATTGAATGTATTATTTATTTAAAATTTCACAGATTAGTACCATATTTTTTTTCTTTTTCATTTCTATTATTGATATGTGGATGTTTCTTTTACATTTATTTTATTTTTAGTCTTTTTTTTTTTTTTTTTTTTTTTTTTTTTTTTTTTTTTGGTCTTTTATAGGGTCTCCCTATAGCCCTAGCTGTTCTGGAACTCACTATGTAGACCAGGCTGGCCTTGAACTCACAGAGATCCACCTGCCTCTGCCTCCCAAGTGCTGGGACTACAGGCATGTGCCACCACGCCCAGTTATTTTTAGTCTTTAAAAAAAAATTGTGTGTGTGTGTGTGTGTAGTGCGCATGTGCACAGATCAGAAGACAACTTTCAGGAGTCAGTTCCTGCCTTCAGTCCTTCTTGCAGCAGGGTCTGTCTTATTGTTTCTACTGCTGTGTTCTCCAGCTAGCTGGCCAGGAGCTTCTGAATGATTCTCCTATGTCCGTCTCCCATCTTGCCAGAGGAGTAGGAGTACAGATGTAAGCCACTATATCCTGCTTTTTCTTTGTTTTAGCTTTAAAAAATTTATATTGGGGGCTGGAGAGATGGCTCAGCGGTTAAGAACACTGGTTGTTCTTGCAGAAGACCTGGATACGAATCCCAGCACCCACATAGCAGCTAACAACTGTCTGTAGCTCCAGTTCTAGGGGATCCGACGGCCTCTTCTGTCCTCCATGGGCATTGCACGACATGGGTGCACTTCCATACATGCAGGTATAACACTCATACACATAAAATAAAAATAATAAAAAATTAAAAAAAAATTTATATTGGTCAGTGCACATCTTCAGTCCCAGCACTTCAGAGGCAAAGGCAGGCGATCTCTGTGAGCTTGAGGCCAGCCTGGTCTACATAGTGAGTTCCAAGCCACCAGGGCTACACAGTGAGACCCTGTCTCAAAAAAACAAAGGTCAGGCTCTGCTCTGGTGGGGGAGGAAGGCAGAGACAGGTGGATCTCTGAAGCTCATTGTCTAGCCAGTCTAGCTGGGTGAGTGAGCTACACGCTGAGAGATGGAAGATACCAGAAGTCAACCTGTGGCACCCACAGACTCACACCAACACATACATACCACACACACACACACACACACACACACACACAGAGAAAGAAAGATCTATTACCTGACCTACCCCCAGACAAAAAGTACCCCAACATAGAAACAATTGCCATTAAAGATTTCCTGGGCCAGTGAGATGGCTCAGTGGATAAACCTGCTAGCCACCAACCCTGAGGAGCCGAGTTCAATCCCTTTGTGTGCCCCACCCCCAATAAACTTTTTTTAAGTGTCAGAACCAGGAGCTGGTGAGATAGCTCAGCAGGTTAAATGTGCTTGCTGCTAAGTCTTTCGACCTCAGTTTGATCCCTGGGATCCACATGATGGAAGGAAAGAACTGACTCCAAGTTGTTTTCTGACTTCCACATGGGTACTGGAGCTCAAGTGCCCTCTTCAACATAAATAAAAATAAATGTAATTTTTTAAAGTGGCAGAATCAGGCGTGGTAGCATACACCTACAATGCTATCACTGAGGAGGCTGAGAAAGATAAATTCCAAGCCGCCTGGCCTACAAAAGCAGCAAGGAGTGTCATCTGAGGTTGCCAGTCATGATTTATGTATTTGAGTGTTTTGCCTGCATGCATATAAGTGCAGTATGAGTATGCAATGCCCTTGGAGGTCAGAAGAGGGTATTGGATCCCCTGAAACTGGAGTTATGGATGATTGTTCCATTCAATGGATGCTGGGAACTGAACCCAGGTCCTCTGCAAGAGCAGCCAGTGCTCTTAAACACTGAGCTATCTTTCCAGCCCAGCCAATCATGACTTGAAGAAAAATCAGCCAACCTTCCTACAGGTCTTCTAATTTATGAGTGTTTTGCTTGCGTGTATGTAAGTGCATCTGCCCCGGCCAGCAGGGCGGGAGACGGAGACTCGAACTCCCAGGGACCTGGAATGATGGGACAAGAGACACGAAGAATGACAGCAAGACAAAGAACTCTGATCAAGCTGCCAAAGTTTATTTTTCCACGGGGATTCTTATACGGGCTGAAGCGGGAGATTAGCTGGGGAAGGGGAAGGGAAGGTGTTGTCTCAATGGGTTAATGAATGTCCCTAGGATGAGGGGACCTGGCACCATGGTCTGGTTGCAGGCTAAGGAAATTGGTTGTTGCTCAAACTTATCTTAACTCATTGGAAGGGTTGCTTATCTTAGGGGGCAGGGAGGACTGATCAGCAAGTTCTCCGGAGGATGCTTGCCCTGGGGGGCAGAGAGGGCTGCCAGGCAGCGTGGTCTCCGACATGCATCCCTGTCATGCAGTGCTCATGGACATCAGAAGAGAGTGTTGGGTCCCCTGAAACTTGAGTTACAGATGGTTGTTTGGTATGTGCATGCTGGTAACCAAACCTGGGTCCTCTGCAATAGCATCCAGTACTCTTAACTGCTGAGCCATCTCTCCAGACCCATTCCCACAGATTTTGCTCTAAGACATACCTGTGCTCTCTGTTAAGGTACCAGGGAGAAAGCTTAGTTGACGCAAGTTCATGGTTACCAGATCTGAAGAATTAGAAGGAGTGACAGGGGTGGGGGGTAGTATTTCTAAGGGAGGATTCCCTTGAGGTATGGGATGAAAATGATGGCTCTGTTGGGAAACAGAAGGGGTGGATAACTATCATAGCAGAGATGGGTCCAGTGAGGGCATAGACAAAGACAAGAATAACAGGCTGACTACTGGGAACGTGGAATATTCTGGGGTCCCATAGACAGCAGTGACAAGGTGCGGAAGACCATGGAAGTGGGTCCCCAGTGGGGAGAGAAGAGGGAACAGTACAGGGGAGAGGGCATGAAATAGTTGGATTTGTCTTCCTCTTTTTTTCCTTTCTTTTACATTTATTTGTGTATCAGATGACAGGAGTTGGTTCTTTCCTTCTACCATGTGGGTCCTGGGAATTGACCTCAGGTCATCAGGTTTAACAGCAAGTGCCTTCATTTGCTGAGCCATTTTCCCAGCCCAGGATGGAATTTGTATATAGATGCCATCAATCTTTTTTTTTTTTTTTTTTTTTTTTTGGTCTTTTTGAGACAGGGTCTCCCTGTAGCCCCAGCTGTCCTGGAACTCACTATGTAAACCAGGCTGGCCTTGAACTCACAGAGATCCGCCTGCCTCTGCCTCCTGAGTGCTGGGATTAAAGGCATGCACCACCATGCTCAACCTTAGATGCCACCAATCTTGAGTCATTTGGGTTACCACTATATGTGCTGAAAATTGCATGAGTCAATGTGAAAAACCAGAGAGATGCAGCTAGGTCTTCAGTGATTCTAAGAGAATGAGGGGCAGGAAGGCACAGCTCCTGAGGATGCTGACTGGCCTGATGACAAAAACTGAAAAAAGCCATTATGTCTCTTCAGAGCACTGTTGTGCCACAGAGAATGGGCACATTACAAAATCAGAAAATAAGCTCTCACTGTTGGGTGTTGTTCTTTATTAGGAAACACAACATTAAAAGAAATTTTATTTTATTTTTTTTTAATGCTCAGAAGATTTAAAAGTTCAGAGGGCCTGGGGTATGAAGTTCAGTGCAGAGTTACAGTTTGGTGCTGGCCAACACCAAAGGCTGGGAGATGTAGAAGGAGCTCTCTGCCCTCCTTCCTGCCTCCAGTCTGGGCATCAGTGCTGTGCTCCTCCAGTTCTCATTGTCTTTATGGACAACTAGCACAACACTAAGGACAACAAAAATAAAGCCTGCAGCCGTCATGGATACTCCAGCAGAGAAAGTCACCCGGTCAGAGGAGTGGTGAGTCAGGAGAACTATTCCCAGAATCAGAGCCAGCACACCCATGATGATGATAAGTACCCATTCAGTGAAAGAGGAGCCAGAGAGACATGGGCAAACAGGCTCCTCCTCCCTTCTGTTTAGCTGGCTGCTGGAACTGTACATTTGGAGAGGTCGATACATTATGGTTGTTTTCCTATAGTGTATGAAAAAAAAAAAGATTACAGATTGGAAACAGTTAAATTGAGGTAGAGCTTGGCAAAGTAGTGTATGCCTGTAATCCCAGTGTTTAGGAGGCCAAGGCTGGAGGATCCAGAATTCAAGGTCATTTCAGGCTTCAAGTTTGAGGCTACATAGAAAGGATGTAATTCAGAGATAAACTGCAGGAAGCCTTAAGAGTTCCCTTCAAGGAGGCTAGACTAGGGTCGCTGGAGTACTTTTTTTGGGGGGCAGGGTAGGTGCTGGGAATGGAACTAAGGACCTCATACCTGCTAGGCAAGCCCTTTACCACTGAGCTACACCCACTGTGTGCCACTGTGTTCTCAGTGGTTTAAAAGACATTTATAAGGGGCTGGTGAGATAGCTCAGTGGTTAAGAGGAGTCACTGCTCTTTTCAGTGGACCCGGGTTTGATTCCCAGCACCCACATGGTGGCTAACAACCATCTATAGCTCCAGTTCCAAGGGATCTGACACCCTCTTCTCACATACATGCAGGTAATATACACATAAAATAAAAACAAATTATATATATACATATATGACATTTATAGGTGTCAGCAAGCTGTTTCAAGATATCCAGAAAGAATACTCAAACTAGACTCAGGGCACTGAACTAAGTAGGCTCTGATTCTTCCAAAAGTATTTTTATTATACTTGATGGTTGATTTGTTATTTTTATACTTTAGTTGTAAGTGATAGAATTCAAGGCTAAAGATTAATTAATTATATGGACTAGACAAAAAGTGATGGCATGTGCTTGTAATCCTAGAATTTAGAAACTGAGGCAGGAGGATCTAGAATTCAAGGCTAGACTAGGTATGAGGTGAACCATTTTCTCAAAACAACAGACTGAGCTCAGTGATAAAGCTAGCTCAGTAGTAGAGAAGTTGCCTAGTATGTATAAGTCCCTGGGTTTAATCCTCAGCACCAAAAAATAACATGGACCAAATGGCAACATAGGACAATGTCCCAAGAGAAATGTTTTCCTCTCTTCTGCCAATTGGATGAGCCAGTGCAGAGTTTAACAAGTAATAGCTTTGTGACGTGATAGAGATTACCAAGGCTTCCCAAGATGGGAAGCTTGCCTTAGAGACCCTTGCTCAAAATGAGTTCCTTAGTTATTAGAAAACCTTGGTTTAAATTGCATGATCAAATAACTACCAAAACAACTTATCTTAGTTGGCATTTATCAAACAAAATGGGCTTTTTGGTATTTTAATAATATACCAAAATCCATGGGAATAGACTTGGCTTATCAAAATCATATATATGTGGACTGAAATGGGCCTCTTTCTGGGGACTGGATTGATGGCTCAGCAGTTAAGAACACTGACTGTTTTTGCTGAAGACCCAGGTTCGAATCCCAGTACCCACATGGCAGCTAACAACTGTCGGGAACTCCAGTCCCAGGGAATCTGACAGCCTCTTCTGGCCTCTGCGGGCATTGCACGACACAGGTGCACTTACCTACATGCAGGCAATACACATAAAATAAAAATAATATTAAAAAAAAGAAAAAAGAAATGTGCCTCTTTCTCGAGATGCCCATGTTCACCCTTGAATCAGTGCAGCTGTTCTTCCGCAAGCATCTGTACTTTTGTTTTTTTGAGACAAGGTTCTCATGTAGCCTAGGCTGGCCTTTAACTTGCAATGTAGCTGAGAATGACCTTGAACTTCTGACCCTCCTGCCTCCACCTCCCAAGTGCCTGATTTACACAGTGCTGGGGATCAAATTTAGGGTTTTGTGCATGCCAGGCAAACACTCTACCAACTGAGCTACATCCCCAACTCAATCTTTCCTGCATTTTATCAATTTAATTTTTCCTAATCCCTAGTTATTTATAATCTCTATATAATACTCATTATTTTGAGACAGGGTCACTGTAGCTCAGGAGGTCCCTGTGTAGATTAGGGTGGCCTCAGATTTGTGATCCTCCAGTCTCAACCTTTCAAATTCTGGGATTATAGGTATGTACCACAAAACCCAGATAATAATAATCTCCAATTGTTAAAGAAAGTATTTCGCTGGGTGTGGTGGCACATGCCTTTGATCCCAGCACTCGGGAGGCAGAGGCAGGTGGATCTCTGTGAGTTCAAGGCCGGCCTGGTCTACATAGTGAGTTCCAGGACAGCTGGGGCTACAGGGAGACCCTGTCTCAAAAAGACCAAAAAAAAAAAAAAAACATAAAAAACATAAAAAAAAAAAAAAAAAAAAAAAAAAAAAAAAGCCATTAGAGCCATTAGAAAGATGAAACCCCAAACCAGAAAATAGAAGTATTTTAGCGCACAAGATGTCATGACATAGGGGAGGGGGCACACCTGGAATCCCAGCATTCAGGAGGCCAAGGCAGGAGAATCTGGAGTTTGAGGCCATTCTAGGATACACAGTAGGACCCTGTCTCAGAAAATAAAAGGCTGGGTGTGGTGGCACACACCTGCAATCCTAACATTTGGGATGCTGAGTCAAAAGGATTGTTACAAATTCAAGGCCAGTCTGATACTGGCCAGACCTACCTAGTAAAGCCTAAAATAAATAAATAAATAAATAAATAAATAAATAAATAAATAAATAAATAAATAATAAATAAGGGGCTGGTGAGATGGCTCAGTAGTTAAGAGCAGTGGCTGCTCTTGCAGAGGACCCGTGCTTGATTCCTAGTACCTACAAGGCAGCTAATAACAGTCTATAACTCCAGTTCCAGGGGGATCCAGCACCCTCTTTTGACCTCTGTGGGCATTGCACGATATGGGTGCACTTACCTACATGCAGGCAATACACGCATACACATAAAATAAAATTTTAAAAAGTAGAACAAAAAGATTAAGTTAAGGCAAGTATTGTATTTGTAGTGAATAAAGTATTTAAGATCTTAGCCAGGTGTGGTGCATACCTTTAATCCCAGCACTTAGGAGGCAGAGGCAGGCGGATCTCTGTGAGTTCAAGGCCAGCCTGGTCAAAATTTAAAAAAAAAATTTTTTTTCAACTGACTTGCAAACACATTTAGTTAAAAAACAAGCTTCCAGTTCAATGAAAGAAATGATAGTTTCTCTCACCTGGTAACAGGTAGCTTTTTAGTAAGCAAACAAATGTCAGAAAATGTTTTTTCCAAAGCAGCCAGAGATCTTTCAAGACGCAGCGTCTGTAGGCAGGGAGTCAGCAGGTCTCTGTGCTTCCTTTTATGAATTAGGCCCTTGATTGCAGAATTGAAGTAATATGGATTCTCATGGGGGGAGAGGGGGGTGGTTTTCATGAAGCCTGTTAGTTTCTCGTAATTCATCTAATATAGTGAATTCCTTGTTCTATAGTCACTGAAGAACCTCCTAACAAGAAGATAGTGGGAGTTCATGCATAAAGCCGCCCATGTGACTGCCTTATGTTAGAGATAATACTAAAATGGGGAGGAAACGATCTTTTACCCTGGGTGGCTTTTACCCTGGCTGAGTTTTACTCTTGTCTTCACCTGCTGAGGATTTAGTAAGGCTCTTACTACCAAACATGGGCAAATTAGAACTAACACATAGCCTGCCCTAGCATTTTCCGTCCCTCTCTGAGTATAGGAATCACCCAGCTGCTCTCAATCCTGCCTAATCATGCTAAACGCTGGGATTACAGGTGTGTACCATAACAGCCTGCTTTATGTTTAATTTTTTCTTTTTAAGCCAGACCATTTCTTTTTCTTTTTTTTTTTTTTTTTTTTTTTTTGTCATTTTGAGACAGGGCCTCCCTGTAGCCCCAGCTGACCTGGAACTAAGTAGACCAGGCTGGCCTTGAACTCATAGAGATCAGCCTGCGACTGCCTCCTGAGTGCTGGAATTAAAGATGTGCACCACCACGCCCCAATAAAGAGAGACCATTTCAAAATGTGTGTGTGTGTGTGTGTGTGTGTGTGTGTGTGTGTGTGTGTGTGTCTAGCTGGCAATTAAATCCAGGGCATTGCATACTGTATATGCTAATCATTCTACCACTAGACTTCATTTTCTCTCTCCTTTCCCATCCCCCCCACCTCCACCCTCCCTTTAGGGAGGATCTCACTTTGCAGCTCTTGCTGACCTGGAACTTGCCATGTGGAACAGGTTGGTCCCAAACTCAGGGAGATCCACTTGCCTTTACCTCCCCAGTGCTAGAATTAAAGCTGTTAAAGGTGTGTACCACCATGCCTACCCTCAAATCATTTAGTTATTCTTAAGAAGAATTTGTATTGTCTGGGACTGGAGAGCTGGCTCGGTGGTTAAGAGGACTCTATGCTCTTCCCTCAGGACAGGGGTTTGGTTCTCAGCACCCTACATTAGGTGGTTCACAACCTGTAACTCCAGTCGCAGGGTATCCAATGTCCTCTTCAGGCCTCTGTGGGCACCAGCACACATGCACTCACAAACAATTTAAAAATTTTTTTTTATGTGTATGAGCATATTGCCTGCATGTAGGTAGATGCACCCATATTGTGCAATGGCAGCTGGGCATAGGTCTGAAGAGGGCATTATTTTAATGTTTTTTAAACATTTATTCTGAGTGCATGTGTATGTATGCATACATGTGCCTTGGCACATGTGTGGAGGTCAGAGAACAATTTGCATGAATCAGTTCTCTCAGGCGTCTCTGTCCACCAACAGGTCGTCAGGCTTGGCAGCAGGTGCCTTCACGTGCTGAGCCAACTCACTGTTTTTTGCCTTTTTGAGACGGTCTCGCTGTACCTGGCCTGGAACTCATTATATAGACCAGGCTGGGCTCGAACTCACAGAGATCTGCCAGCCTCTGCCTTCCAAGTGCTGTGATTAAAGGTGTGCACCACTGCACCCAGCCAGCACTATTATTTGTAAATGATTGCTATAACCCAAACTTTATTGTCTATTAAAATATTTTTAAAATTTTGTGTTTGAGTGTATTGCCTACATGGAGGTAGGTGCACCTGTCACACAGTGCCTGTGGAGGTCAGAAGAGGACACTGGATCCCCTGGAACAGGAGTTAGGATGGTTGTTAGCAGCCATGTGGATGCTGGGAATGGAACCTGGGTCCTCGGCAAGAGTAGCCAGTACCCTTAGCCACTGAGCCTTTAATCAGAAGTACTGATTTCTTCAGTATTCAGGCAGCTTTTATGGTTCATAAAGCCTTGAGAATTTTATAGGGTTTCACACATCCTCCTGCCTCCATGTCCCAAGTCTGGAACTACTGCCATGGGAAACCAAAACCAGTTTATGCTATATTGGGGACTGAACCCGGAGCACAGTGCATACTAGGCAAGCTCCACCTAGTTACAGTCGTAGGATATTTTTCTTTTTAGTTCCAAAGCATCTCCAATTCAGGTGTGTATTCCATTGCAAAAAAAAAAAAAAAAAGGTCATCTAGGTAAAAAAATTTAAGTTCAGTCATTTCAAGAGACCGTTGCACACATTTGATGCAGGATCAGAGGTAAAACAATATCAGTCAGTAAACCTAAACTACAGGCCAAAAATCTTCTACTTAAAGGATGGGATTAAAAAGCCTTATCAATATCCTGGAAAGCTGAACCATATAGATATTAGTATGATTACCTATGTTTGTCCTATAGAGAAGTAGGCTCCTACATAAATGAACCTATCTTATTTTCTTTAGGACCTGCTTCTGGAAATTCAATTGAGCCAGCTCCGACATTACTCAGTTTTCTAAGTGGCTAATAACTTTCCACTTTAGAGGTTTTCACAATTTGAAATGTTCGTATTAATCTGTACTACTGAAAAAAAGTAGGCTGGACTTCAATTTGAGAACAATGAAGCTTTCTTTCTTTTTGAAACATGCCATCTTTGGAAGCATCTCACTTGAGCCTTCTGTAGGAATTTCATTCATAGACTGCTGCAAATTCACTTATAGGGACACAGACCTCAATGCAAATGCAGTGAAAAACTGGAGTCATTTACTAGGCTAGGGATGCAACTCAGCTCTAAGAGCTCTTGATTAGCATGTGCAAGACCGGGGTTCCACACCTAGTGCCATCAAAACCCAAACCAAACTTCATTTACAGCCTCAGAATATACTTGCCATGTATGAACTTCACTAAATGGTCCAAACTCCCACACCTATCCTAGCATTGCCACCTATTAAGCCCACCTGTACCCAGTAAGGAACAGTATGGGGTGGGAGATGGGAAGGCTTAAGATAGGTTCTTGTCTCCAACAGGCAGAAGTCAATTTAGAGCTCCTAGAAAAGGTTCTATATCCATTCTTTCGACAGGTTCTCACTACGTAGCCAAGCCTGGTCCCCTGCCTCCCCTTCCTGAGGTTATAAGCATAAACTACTTCATTCCCCTTACCATATGAGCTAACTCATTACCAAAATCCACCTGGACAAGCCACCAGAGCTCACAGGCCAAGAAACCTCTTCATCCCCTCTGTAGTAGATTCTCATGAATCAAGGTCCTTAGAGAAATGCTTGCACAAACTAGTGTAGCAGAGCCCAGCTGACTAAATCCTTTGGTGCAGATGGAAAGGTGTCACACCACACTTTGGAGTTAATTCAGTGAGATTTGGAATACTGACAATATAGAATGTCACCCAGAAGCAGATGTTAAACTTTTTAATAAAAAACACACTCATAGAGAAGCAATCTGTCAGCAAATACACAGAACAATTAAAAATAGATTTTACCTCACCTCCTGATTTTTACAATCACCTGTGGAAATTTTACAAAAACATTTTACCAAGCCTCACTGTTGCAAATGGTTATGAGTCAGGACCAGAGTACAGTGTGTGTATGTAATATATTGCTTGTTTTGGCAGTGCTAGGTACTGAATCTAGGCCCTTGAGCATGCTATTAGGGAAGTACTCTACCACTGAGTTACATCCCTACCCAGGACTGGAGTTTTATTTGAGACAGTTTCGCTGTATCCCAGGCTTCCTTCAAACTTCTGACTCTCCAACTTCAGCTTCCTGAGTGCTAGGGATACAGGTGCACACCCCCACATCTAAGTTTATTCTTAAAAAGCTTGAGGTGTAGGGCGTGGTGGCACATGCCTTTAATCCCAACACTGGGGAGGCAGAAGCAAGTGGATCCTGTGAGTCCCAGGCAGCAGGAGCTACATGGAGAGCCTGTCTCAAAAAGAACACCCCGCCCCCCTCACCAAAAGCCCTAAAGGTAACTGATATTTTTTTCAGGTTGAGGTGCTGGTTTCAAGCTGACTGGGCCAACTGGTTTGTTTTCAGTTTTGGGAGATGCTGGTTGCTTTCTTTGCAGATTTCCTGGGAGTAGCGAAAAACCTGGCCTCTGGCTTTTTTGGAGTCTGCCTCGGGTCTTTTTTTAGCAGCGAAGATGTTTTTTCTTTCTCCTGTTCCATTTTTCGCTTCTTCCCTGGGCTGTTCCCTGGGGTCCCACGGCCTGAAGATTCTGGGGTCTCTACAGCTGACAGGGCCTTTCTCTTCTTGCTATGAGGTGTATTTGGACCAGGACTCTTTTTTGGAGTTTTTCTTTCTGTGACATCTTTTTGCATCTAAGAAGAAGAAGAAGAAAATTAAATCTAGAACAAAATAAAAACCTGCAATCAAACATAAGGGTCCACTGTTTTTCTAAATTAATCCCTGTACATTTAACCTCAGTACGATGAAATGAGGAATAGCCCTTTCTATTGTCAGATGTTTTCTTTCTTTTTGAGACAGTCTCAGCATGTGGCTTAACCTGTCTGGAACTCACTATGTAACCCAGGCTAAACTCCAACTTGTGATGTTCCTGTCTCAGTCTCTTTGAGTGCTGGGATTACAAGTATACTATAGTTTTTAAGAATACACTCCTACTTCCTTAAAAAAGGAATTAGGGCACAGTAACACACTGTTTATCCCAGCAGTTGGGTGGCAGAGGCAGGTGGATTTGTCAGGAAACTGAGGTGAGCCTGAGCTATAGAGCAAGATCCTGTCTCTAAAACAAAAACATTAAGTGCACAATGAGAGGCCACAACCTTTAGGGTAAAGTATGTCTACTTTCATGGTTCCTGTAGGAAAATAATACTTTTCGTCATCACTTAGCTACTGAACTGTTCATAATGAATACTAAGCATTTTAACAAAGATACCTTCACATTTTCTTTAGCTGGACTTTCCCCTATTGGTATCAGTTGTGGAATTTCTTCTTCACATTGTTCTATCACCTTAGGTTGAGCTTTTGCTTTGCCAGTCTTTTTCTTCTGGGACCCAGGGCCCTTCACTGGGGCAGCACCAGTTTTAGGAGCCAAGCCACCCTGCAGTGGGACTGATGCATCAGTTTTGGCCTTTTGTCCTAACATTCTGCTTCTGTTCTTCAACTTCTGTTTTTCATGGTATTTTCTTTCTTTTATTTTTCTCTTTGCCTCCTATCAAAGAATACCAGGCATAAGTTTAGCAGGGAGTACTTCTGTAGAAAAACAGATGGCATAGATTCTATCAGCTGAAATTCTGATTATTCATAAGCTCCCTAAAACATCCTTGACCTACACAAACAGAATCCCCCCCTACTTTTTGAGACAGGGTTTCCCTGTAGCCCAAGCTGGCCTGGAACTCACTATGTAGACCAGGCTGACTTTGAACTCAGTGGGATTAAAGGGGTGTGCCACCACACCCTGCAGAATACCCCATTTCTAAGTACTTGAACCTCAATTCCATTTTGGGGGTCCCCAATAGGTAGCCCAGACTGGTCGACCTTGAAATTCATCCAACCTTAATCCTGAGTGGTAAAATTACAGACATGTACCACACCTGGCTTTCTATTTCAACTCCCAGCCAAGGATGCATTTTATATCATAATGAGTACCCTACACTATGTGGTAGGGTCTCAATAAAGCACAGACAGATAGACAGACACAGAGGAGAGACAGATGGGATGGATATTGCGGTTGAAAGCTAAAACAACATGAACATGGTAATATCTGCCTATAATCCTAACTACTTGGGAGGCTGAGGCAGCAGGAGGAGAACTTCAAAGGCCAGTTTGGACTATGTACTTAAGTTTGAGGCTAGAAAGGGCTGGGGGTTTAGCTTATGGACAGAGTACCTGCCTATCATGAGAAGGCCCTTGCCTGGGTTCAATATCAACCAGGACCACACATACACAAGGTTGAAACTATAAAAACCAATAATCATGGCCCGGACTATATGCAACTCTGTCTCAAGAATGAAAGGTCAGCCTGGTCTATACAGAAAGTTCCAGGCCAGCTGGGACTACAGGAAGACCCTGTCTCCAAAAAGGAAAAAAGAAAGAAAGAAAGAAAGAAAGAAAGAAAGAAAGAAAGAAAGAAAGAAAGAAAGAAAGAAAGAAAGAGAGAGAGAAAGAAAGAGAAAGAAAGAAAAGAAAAGAAAGAAAAATAGAGATGCCAGGCATGGTAGTACATGCCTTTAATCCCAGCACTGGAGAGGGAAGCAGAGGCAGGCGGATCTCTGTGAGTTTCAGGCCAGCCTGGTCTACACAGCCAGTTCCAGGCCAGCTGGAGCTTACAAGGAGACCATTTCAAAAAGTCAAAAAAAGAAATCAAACTCTAGTGTCTATACTGAGGAAAGATTCTCTTTGAAACTCTCTCTACAACACAGGGACCTAAAGGAACTGTATCTCAGGATAAAGATGAGCAGGAAGCTCAGCCCATGTACACTGATAGCCACGGTTTGGTTTGAATCATTACTAAACTTCCAGTCTTTTGTGTACAGATATGTATATGCATGCCAGAGGTCATCTTATGGTATCCTTCCTCAGGGGCCACCCACTTTGTTTGAAGCAGGGTCTTGTAGTAGAACTCCAGCCTCAGCCTCCCAAGTGTGAGATTAAAGGTCTAGCCAATTTTGGGCTTTTGTCTTGTTTTAGACAGGGTCCCCCTGTAGCCCCAGATGGCCTGGGACTTGGTATTAAAGACCAGGGTGGCTTACAGCTTGCAGAGCTCAGCCTGCTTCTGACTCCCAAGTGCCACCCATTTTCTTTTTGAGACAGGGTCTCTCACAGGGAGGTGGGGCTTTCTGATTAGGTTAAGGTGGTTGCCAGTCAATTCCAGGCATCTACCTATCTCTACCTATCTCTACCTCCCAAAGCTGGGATTACAAGAGCTAGTAACAACATCCGGCTTTTTATATGGGTGTGGGATCAAACTCAGGTCCTCATGCTTGCATGACAAAGACTTTACCAACTAAGTCATCTTCCCAACCCGGGACCACTAGTCTTTATTTTTGTTTTGTTTTTTTCTGTCTTTTTGAGACAGGGTCTCCCTGTATAGCTGGCCTGGAGCTTACAAATGTAGACCAGGCTGGCCTCAGACTCAAAGAGATCTGCCTACCTCTGCCTCCCAAGTGCTCGGATTAAAGGCGTGTGCCGTCAAGCCTGACCCTCTAAGTATCTTTAATGTGATTTAGCTTAGTCCTGGGTTGAGAGTACGTCTAGGGTTCCTGCCAAGCAGATGGAAATGCTAGATTTCTATAAAACTACTTAACATGCTTTAAAGGATTAAAGACAGACTAGAAAAAAATAAACTGGAAAATGATTTACAACAGTATTCCAAAAAGTGACAAAGACAACTTACAAAAGAATAAGGTATGTCTTGGCAAAGGCAGAGGCAGGTGGATCTTTGAGTTCAAGGCCAGCCAGAACTATATAGCGAGACCCCGTCTCAAAAACAAAAACATGTAAATTCTAGAAATAAAGACATGAAACAAAGCACCAAAATTAATAACTCGTCGGAAGTATTATCTGTCAGTCTGATGGCTCAGTTAGCTACGTAAGCATGAATTCAATCTTTACCACCCATGTAAGAGGCACAGCAATGGGTATCTGTAACCCTAGTGATGTGGGATGAAGAAAGGGAGCCAGGCAGACAGGAGGATCCCTGGAACTCTGTGGCCAGCTAGTTTAGCCAATCAGTGAGTGCCACTAAGAGATCTGGTCTCAAGAAGGTGGAGAACTGACGAAGATACTCAAGGTAGTCCCGTAGATCTTCTGTCTGCTCACCTACCAACCTGCACATACAATTAAGATGTTTGCCAAAACTTTGCCCCAATGCTAGAGATCCAACGCAGCATATTAAGCACATGCTCCACCACTGAGCTACATCTTTAGCTCTAGCCTTAAATTTATTTAAAACAAAGTTTCATAATGTAGCCCAGGATGGTTCTGAGCTTGCTGTGATCTTTCTGCTTGGATACACCTTGATTATTAAGCAACTTCAGTACTTAAAATTCTACTAACCTTTTTCTTCAAGCTGCGGAAGGATATATTCTTTTCATCCTGACAGGTGACAAATGAGGAAAAGATGGGAAGGGAAACTGACTTCTCAGTTTTCAGGAACAGAAGTTTCACACTCTGCCATTTCTGGAAAAAAAAAACAACAAAAATAATGCCATCTAGACATATTTTGCCTCTTTTGAATGAAAAGTTGATTTATGATCATACTATACCTCTGGCAGTATTTCTGAAAGCTTTTTTGAGACAGCCAAGATGTTTTCAATGATGTGCTGGGTCTCCATTCCAGTGTGACCGATGCGTATAGTACTAGGATTCAATACAGTAACAGAGATTTTCAAAAATTAACAACAAAGCACAGGTAGGTCTATGAGAAACATCAAATCCCCAAAGTGTTTTTTTTGTTGTTGTTGTTGTTTTGTTTACATAGATCTCACTATGTAGCCTTGGCTGTCCTGGAACTTGCTATAAAGACCATGCTGGGCATGGTGGCACACGCCTTTAATCCCAGCACTTGGGAAGGCAGAGGTAGGTGGATCTCTGTGAGTTTGAGGCCAGCCTGGTCTACATAGCAAGATCCAGGCCAGCTGGGGCTACAGGGAGACCCTGTCTCCAACAAAAAAAAAAAAAAAAAAAAAAAAAGGGCTGTTCTGGAACTCAGAGATCCACCCACCTGCCTTCAACTCCTTAGTGCTGGGATTAAGAGTGTGTGACACCACACCCAGCCCAAAAGTGTTTATAAGTGAATTTCACAGAAAGAGGCTGTGTGCCCGTGTGTGTGTGTGTGTGTGTGTGTGTGTGTGTGTGTGTGTGTGTGTGCGCGTGTTAGCACATGCCTTTACTCTCAGCACTCAGGAAGCAGGCAGATCTCTGTGAGTTAGGCCACCTTGTCTCAAAAATAAAAAAGCTATTTATTATCTTTTGTATTTTAGAAATCCATTCCCTGGGGGCTGGAGAGATGGCTCAGTGGTTAAGAACACTTGCTGTTCTTCCAGGAGACCCAAGTTCGAACACCCACATGGCAGGTGACAACTATTCAACTATCCATAACTCCAGTTCCAGGGGATCTGATGCCCTTTTCTGGCCTCTGCAGTCTTTGCACAACACAGGTGCACTTACATACATGCAGGTAATACATTCATACACATAAAATAAAAAAAAAAAAAAAAAGAAAAAGAAAAAAAGAAATGCATTCCCTGAAATTTAGTAAAAACCATGTCAAAAGAGGTCATTTCAGAGCTAGTACCTAATGGGGTGAGGCTGGAAGAGCAGGCTGGCTGGCTGCTCTTCATCCTAGAAATCCTACAGCATGGGTCTCAAGATGGCTCAGAGAGGTGGCATGAAAACCCAGAGGGAAATGTATTAGCTCAAAAGCCTACTGAAAAATACACATACAATATCTGTATGAATCCATGTGTAGATCTGAAGGCTATATAACAAGAAACACAGTGTCAGACAGGACAAACCTCCCTTTCAGTTGTTGGTCAGGATAATCCAAAAGACTCCCAACATAGCACAGCTATTGCCACAGCCCTTGATTACCTCCCAGAACTTGAGGGTAAGACCCTATTGCTGAAGACAGGACACACTTTGGACACAGGACATAAAGCAAGGGAGCTGAACTGACCTGGAAGCCTCCTTCTTGAAGACTAGCTCTCATAGTTTTGAGGGACACTATGCAAGCTGCTAAGGGAGAAAAATCAAACAATGGTCCAACCCCAGCTTTAAAGCCTAATAACCATAACAATGACCGGCACAGCAAATTATATTGGTGTAGTAGTGTCACTTTTATATTGGGGGTAACCTACACCTACCTAATTGGATTTAAAGTCGTTCAATGAGAGAGAACTCATGTGTGGCACTATAAACACAGCCAAATAAATGGCAGGAGAGGTCACAGATCTTAGAAGAAAACTCCAAATCTGTCATATCTCTAGGCAAACGTAATTTCTTACTATATCCTAAATATGGATCCTTATATTTACAGATAAGTATGCCAGTCACCACTGTTCAAAGAAGCTTCTTTTTCAACAGACAGAGACTATTACAGAGTTCCACAACTTGTCATACACAATGAATAAGTGTCTTTGGGATGCTCAGCCCTAAGTGACACATCTTCAATGGAACCTCTACACCTAAGGCCCATGGACCATAGTGGAACAAGGGGTAGAGAAAATACTAATTCATCTCTCAACTCTCATCACCAATGCTTCCTCATACAACAGAGAGCGTAGAACAAAGGAGACCACTACCAGCCAAAGTGTAAGAGAATAAGAGTCTGTAGAGTGTGGCTCCCAGGACAGGACTTGTATATTAAACCTTACCCACCCAGAGGATGGACAGTTGCAGAAGAAAGGGTGGAAAGGAGAGGAGGTGCATGACCATAAGGAAAGAGTCTTACAAGTTCCTAGAACCTTGCTCATAATGAACATACAGCAATGCTGACAGCATGCACAAGACCCCTGCAAACTCAATCAGACAAACACCAGCATAGAATTGGGGAAACAGGCAGAAGGCCACAACTTTGGTGAAGAACTACTAGCAACTGATCACTGTTGAGGAAGAGTTGATCTTCTTTAAGGGGATGACACTAGACAGGTTGACCAGGCTCCAGGGGATGAACTCACAACAAGCGTACACAAACTTGACTTGATTAAGGCCTGTGTGGGCTATGGGGGTTAGGGTGCAGGTAGGGAGCTAAATATAATTAAGATGTATTGTACAAAATCCACAAAAATTAAAAGTAGTTTTAAAATAAACTTGATACTAAAACGCAAAAGAAAAAAGGATGGTACAGAGGGAAAGCGTTCCTGTCCTTCATGGAACAGCAAACCTGTAACTAAAGGACAGGGCATAGGCAGTAAGTAGGAAACTCAGCAGGACTCCTGTGGCACCGGGCCCACCTGCCTTGACAGTTCACTCTCCCACCACAGGCTCATTGTGGAGTCTGTGGAGGGAGGACAACACAGTTATGCTCTCACTTCTCTTTTCAGTCATTGGCTGGCTCTATTTACTCTCTATGCCTGTTAGCTTCCTGCCTGTACACACGTCCTAAGGTGCATAGAAGAGGAGGAGAAGAGAAAGGCCAGAAACCATTGTGGCAGGGAAAGGGAACAGAAACAATCAAGAGACTCAAACTCACTTTGCAGTCCAGGTAACTTTCAAACCAGAGGCCCACCTGGCTCTGCTTCTCTTATGCTGGAATTACAATGGTTAAGTCATCATGCGTGCTATCTTCAACCTTCTTTCTTCTGTTTTGAGACAGGGTCTCATTATGTAGCCTTGGCTAGCCTAGAATTCAGCAACTAGCCTGCTTCTTCCCCTTACCAGAGCCCTGGGATTAAAAGTGCACATCACCAGGTTAGAGAAATGGCTCAGTGGATAAGAGCTCTTACAGAGGACGGGGTTCGATTCTCAGCACCCACATGACAGTTAAAAACCATCTGTAACTCCAGTTCCAGGGGATCTGACACCTTCTTCTGACCTCTGTGGGCACCGCACGACATGGGTGCACCTACCCACACGCAGGCATGTTGGACAGGCATGCTCTCTGAAGGTCCAGCAACAGAATGGATGTCTGCTTCCCCTCCTCTGCTGACTGCTAAACTGTTTGAACCCTAAGACTCTCGATAGAAAGGGAAGGAGAGAGTCACCCCTCCCACCCAATCAATCAGCCTTAATTGCATGAGGGGGAGGGACAAGGGGAGACGCTTAGAAAGTGAGAGAGGAAGAGGGGCTTCGCCATCTTGGACCCGCGGCTGCAAATTGGAAAGCTCAGCTGAGATGCAGGGGAAAAAAAAGCCCACAGGTGTCTGTCTATTCCTCTGTAAGTAACTCCTCCCTGATACCATGTGCTCTTTTGTCAACCCAAATAAGTATCTTTATTCCCTAAACTATAGTTTGGAGGAACATTGTGTCAACTGGTCCTATGGACATGGGAGGAGAGAGGGTCGCAGAGGGTGGAGAAAGCTGAGAGTGCACAGGCCTGCCAGAAGTAAATCTGACTTACAAGGCAATACACTCACAGAAAATAATAATAAAAAAAATTTTTAAAGTGTGAGCCACCATGCCTGACTCAATTATGTTTATGTGCATGTCTGTGTGAGGGTTTGTGCACGTGACTGCAGATGCCATGGAGGCTAGAGGCATTTGGATCCCTTGGAGAGCTGTGTTGGTTCTCTCCTCCTACCATGTGAGTCCTCATTGGTGCACCAGAGATTTTTTCTTAGTCTTAAGTGTGGGCTCTACCAAGTTCAATGTCCTGGGTAAGTATATAAACTGAAAATACAAATATGTAGCTATTTCCCTCTATCTGAAACATTCCTTAGTGGGGAAAAGAGAGGAGACCAGGAAAACTCACAACAAAGTGACAAGACGAGAGAGGTCCCTTCTGAGGCTATGTAAGCAGCAGACTTTCCAAACAGAGCAGCCTACAGCTGGGCAAAAAACTGCAACCCTGAAGTTTTCTTGAGTCATCATTCACACTAGGGCGAGTCCTTCAGCAGTAACTGAGTCAGCCATGCTTCTCTAAGTAATCCCTCACCTGTGCTGCTCTAAGTAGCCCCAATAAATTCACTGGATCATCAAGACAGATTTAGGTAGAATTGTCTGTGTTCAGTGCTCTACCTGGGGTGAAATGTATGTCTGTTTGCATCTCCCCAGGAAAGTCACATAACGACAAAGACACTGAATTTAATGAAGAATTAAAGCAAGACCAAGGTAGATTTATTTTTTAAAAAACAACACTTAGGTCAGCTGGGGCTACAAGGAGACCCATTCTCAAAAAGCCAGGGGGAAAAAAAAGGGGAGCTGGAGAGATGGCTCAGTGGTTAAGAGCACTGACTGCTCTTGCAGAGGACCTGGGTTCAATTCCCAGCACCCAGATGGCAGCTACGAACTGTCCTTAACTCCATTTCCAGGGGAATCCAAAGCCCTCTTCTGACCACCGAGGCATTGCACAACATGGGTGCACTCACATACATGTAGGCAATACACTCAAACACATAAATAAAAATAACAAAACATTTAAAAAAAAAACACCTCCCCACAAGCCAGGCGTGGTGGCGCACGCCTTTAATCCCAGCACTTGGGAGGCAGAGGCAGGCGGATCTCTGTGAGTTCAAAGCCAGCCTGGTCTACATAGTGAGTTCCAGGACAGCTGGGGCTACAGGGACACTCTGTCTCAAAAACATCAAAACCGCCCTCAAAAAAACCCAACACCGCCTCCAAAACCAACTTAAGCTTAGAACTAATGTTTTTTAAGAATTGATGGCATTTTTCTAGATTTTCTTAATACCTAGAGGTACCCAGTCCCATATGGACTAGGTACCATGGCTGGACTATGGACCAGCCACTAACTATGTGTACGTATCTAAATTAATAATTTGGGGTGAGATAGTTCTTCTCTAGAGTCCAGGCTGGGCTCAAACTTAGCAATCCTCTTGCCCCAGCCCCTTGAATTGCTGAGATTACAGGCTGGGCTACCATGTCCAACTTAAGGTCACAAATTAAAATGCCAGTTGTGCAGACACGGTAACCAGTGGTTACTGTCTGAATCCACACAGTGGAGACCATTACCACCAGAGCAGAAAGTTACATGGTGCAGCCCTGCTCTAGGGCTATTTCTTTAAAAAAAAAAAACAACCAACAAAAAAACTTTTATTGTATCAGGGTATGGTGACATACCCCTTTAATCCCAGTACTCAGGATGCAAAGGTAGGCCAATCTCTTGAGTTTTAGGTTTATATAGGGAGCACCAAGCCAGCTAGGCTACATAGTGAGACCCTGTCTCAAGAAACCACTAAACCAATTCAAATTTGATTATTATTATTTTTCACATGCATGTGCTCAAATGCAGGCTACACAGCACAGTGTATGAAGGTCAGCAGAAATGTTTTGGAAGCCAGTCTTCTCCTTTCACCTTTCTGTGGATTCTACAAATTGAACTCTAGTATCAAGTTTGCATGGCAAGCACCTTTAGCCTCTGAGTCATCTTGATGGCCCTCCAGAGCCATTTCTAAGAAATACTTTTTAGAAGCATAAAAAAAAAAAAAAACAAAAAAAAAAACTTTGTAGAAAGGATTTTAATAGAAGGACCTGGTTTCATTAAAACAACCCTCCTTTAAAGAAAAAAAAAATAGATTCAATCAATGTGACACATAATATTTAAAAAGGCTCACATGAAAGTGCCTCATTACCTGCAAGAACCACTTTTGGAGATGTTTAAGACTGTCCCACTGATACAGTCATTGATCTCTTTGGACAAATTCTTGGCGAGAAGGTTTACAGGTACTGGAACTCTACAAAAACAAACAGTATCATAACATAGCACACACACACACACAAACTTTATGCCACAAAAGTCCAATCACTGCTAAGAAACTTACTTCTTCCTTTGATAGAAATGCTTTCCTATGTGTGTGGGTAAAAGCCGTCTAATTCTTTCATCAGTAATGAAGAACTCAAAGCTACTCAGGAGGTTGAGCTTGGCCTCATAGGCTTTATATTCCTTTTTTAAAGTTTGGAAAGGGATAATCTAGAAAACAGAAACAAAAGTAAAATCACAAAGAGTTATAAACCTGGAAGACATATTTAAGTAACAATTTCTATTCCCATTTGTCCTAGAGCCATGACCCTCATATTTTAGTGAATATGTAAGCATCTAAAATGTGCCAGACACTGTTGTCCCCAAATGCTGGCGCACTGAGCTAGATGCTATCCTGAAATGAAGTAAAACAGCCAGGTGTGGTAGGGTACACCTTTAACCCACCTTTAATCAAGAGGCAGGGGCAGGTGGATCTCTATGAGTTCTAGGTTAGCCTGGTCCTCATAGCAAGTTCCAGGTCGTAATGAAAAGATTTCTTCATAGCCCATTTTTGTTCTGTACTATTTCCAATCTTGTTTACTTCCACAGCTTTAACCATTCCCATGATGATGACTGGCTCTCTCAGCAGTAGTTAAGAGTGCTTATTGCTCTTGCTCAGACCAGAGTTTGGTGTCAGCACCCATGTCATGTAACTCATGGGATCTGATGACCTCATCTAGCTTCTGTGAGTACAATGCTCACATGTGTAAACCATGCACATACATAATTAAAAACATATCTTTAAGGGGCTGGAGAGGTGGCTCAGCAGTTAAGAGCACTAGCTGCTCTTCTAGGACCCAGGTTTGATTCTCAGCACCCACGACTGCTAATAACTGTCCATAACTCCAGTCCAAGGGGATCCAACACTCTCTTCTGGGTTCTCTGGGTACTACACGCACATGGTGCACTTACATGCAGGCAAAACACACATATACAGAAATAAAAATCTTCAAAACAAGGGGCTGAAGAGACGGCTTAGTGATTAAGAGTGCTTACTGCTCTTATAGAGGACCCAGGTTTGAGTCCCAGGACCCACACAGCAGTTAACAACTGTTACTCCAGTCCCAAGGGATCTGAAATCCTCTTCTGGGCCTCTGTGGGCATTGCATGACATGGGTGCACTTATGTGCATGCAAGCAATACACTCATACACATAAAATAAAAATAATAAAAATAAAATAGTAGTATGGTGGCACATGTCTTTAATCCCAACACTCAGGAGGCAGAGGCAGGTGGATCTCTGAGATTGAGGTCAGCCTAGTCTATATAGCAAGTTCCATGCCAGCTGGGGCTACAGGGAGACTGTGCCTCAAACACAGAAACAAAACAAAAAAACAGCAGCAGCAGCAGCAGCAGCAACAGCAGCAGCAGCAATAAAAGCTACTGATACGCACATCTGGCTTTTTAGTCACAAATCAAAGTGGCCCCTTCACCACAAGCAAGACAAAATAAGCCTAAAAAGCCACACAATCAGATTAAGAAAGGAAAAATAGGGGTATAGGGGTTAGAGAGATGGAGATGACCCAGGTTGGTTCCCAACACCCATTTCTGGCAGTTTACAACTGCCTTTAACTCCAGCTTCAGGGGATCCAACACCTTCTGGCATCTGAGGGCAGCTGCACATAAATGATGCATACATATGCTAAGACAGGCACACAAATAGAACAAAAATACAGCATTGCATTACATATCTTTTCACTTGAATTAAATATTTGAAATGGCTCAAAAGTCTTAACATGCAGCTTACCCGAGAGATGGTTTTAACGCCATGCTTTTTCAGTTGCTTCTTAAAGAAACGTTCTGTCTGTTCAGGTGATTCACATTCATCTTTGGTAAATAAACAGATTTCGGATAAATGTGATCGAATATTATGAGGCAAGGACCTGCAAAAAAAAAAAAGTGACAAGGAATACTACTACAGAAAGTGTATATATTAACCAGAGCATACATTTACCCTCATTTAAAAAGACATCTATTGCTGGGCGTGGTGGTGCACGCCTTTGGTCTCAGCACTTGGGAGGTAGAGGTAGGTGGATCTCTGTGAGTTCAAGGCCAGCCTGGTCTACATAGTGAGTTCCAGGACAGCTGGGGCTACAGGGAGACCCTGTCTCAAAAAGGCCAAAAAAAAAAAAAAAGACATTTATTTTCTAAGTGTATGAGTGTTTTGCCTAGATAAATATAAATGCACCTGTGACATACAATGCTGGCAGAGGCCAGAAGAGGGTGCCAGAGTCCTTGGAACTGGAATTAAGGATGGGTGTTAGAGCTGGGCATGGAGGCCCACGCCTTTAATCCCAGCACTTGAGAGGCAGAAGCAGGTGGATCTCTGTGAGTTCCAGGCCAGCTAGAGCTACAGGGAGACCCTGTCTCAAAAAGACCAAGAAAAAAATAAAATAAAGATGGGTGTTTGCCACCATTTAGGTGCTGGAAACCAAACCCAGGTCCTCTCTAAGAGCAGCCAGTGCTCTTAACTGCTGAGCCATCACGCCAACCCTGATACATCCTCATTTACAAAAACGTATTTATTTTGGGGAGGGAGCATATACACCATGGCACATGTGTTGAGGTCAGAGGACAACTAGTAGGACTTGGTTTTCTCCTTCTACCATGAAGGCTCTGGGATTCCAATTTAGGCCATCAAGTGGCAAGCACTTACCAACTGAGCCATCTTGCCAGCCTCACTCATTTTAATAGTCATTTTTGGTATTTAAGCAAACAGTGCTCTGAGAACAACAGTTAAAATGTAAATCTAAGGAAAGCTAGATAGGGTGATGTGTGCCTGTAATAGACTGAGGCAGAAGGATTACCGAATTAACAGGTGAGCCTGGTCAATAGGCAAGACTCTACTAAACTAAACAAAACAAAAAACAACCAAGAAGGGAGGAGGGAAAGAGAAAATGAACTTCTAGTGACAGAAATCACCAAGGCAAACCCTTCTGGGATGGGTAAGGAGGCTTTACAAAAGCAGAAACTGGCAGAGCAAAGATGTGGGAATAAGGGATATAAGGAGAGACCTGGGAATCTGGCTACACTGGCAAGGCCTGGGTTCTATCCCTAGGGGAAGGTTACCTGGTGAGCTTACAAGAATAAGGACCAGTGCTTCATCCCTATAACCATGGGCGTGGTGACTTGTAAACTCAGTATTGGGAAAATGGAAATAGGCAGATCCTTGGGGTTCAATGGTCAACTGGTCTGGCTATAGTCAACTCCAACTGAATGAGACCCTATCCAAAAAACAGGCGGACAGTGTTCCTGAGAATGACCTCTAAGGATGTCCACTAGCCTTCCTATCCACGGGCATATACACCTCAGTGTACACCTGAGTGCATACAGGCACACATTAAAAAAGGAATCTGGGCTGGGCATGGTGGTGCTCATCTTTAGTTCTAGCACTCTTGAGGCAGAGGTAGGTGGTTCTCTGTGAGTTTGAGGCCAGCAAGGGCTACACAGTTAGACCTTGACTCAAAAAACAAGGAATCTGGGAGTCAAAAGTGTTTTTCTTCTCTCTAACCCTTCCGCCTCCCGAATTTTTGAAGAAAAGCAAGGTTTTGGGACTGGAGAAATAGCACATTAGTTTAGAGCAGGTACTGCAGTTCCTGAGGACCCAAGTTCAATTCCCAGCACCCACATCAGGTAGTTCACAACCGCCTGTAACTCTGGCTTCTGCAGGCACTGGCACTGGAGTACACACCCACACAAGACACATAAAAGGCCAGGGCTGGAGAGATGACTCAGCAGTTAAGAGTACTTAATGCTCGTGCAGAGGAACTGGGTTCAATTTCCAGCACCCACATGGTGGCTAACATCATTTGTAATTCCAGTTCCAGGGGATGTGATACCCTCTTCTGACCTTCACAACCATTGCACGACATAGGTGCAAGAACATACATGCAGGTAATACACTCATATACATAAGTAAAAATGATTTTTTTATTTTATATGCATGTATGTGAGTGCACCTGTGTCCTGCAATGCCGAGGAGGTCAGAAGAGGGTTTCAGATCTCTGAAACTGGAGTTAAGGACGGTTCATAGACACCATGTCAGTGCTGGGAATCAAACTGGGTCCTCTGTAAGAGTAGTCAGCACTCTTAACCGCTGAACCATCTCTCCAGCCCGATTTTTTTTTTAAAAGCAAGGCTGCCACACAAAATACAAAAACACGTGATTAAGTTTGAGTTAAGACTGAACACATTTTGCTGGGCATGGTGGCACATGCTGGGAGGTCTCAGCAGGCCTAGAACTCACCATGTAGACCAGGCTGGCCTTGATCTCACAGAAATCAGCCTGCCTCTGCCTCCCAAGCACTGGGATGAAAAGTGTGGCACCACGCCAGTGACCCCACATTTTTAGGTACAAGCAGCTCTCAAATATTGCATGGAACCTAATTATACTAAAATATTATTTATATATATAATTTATATAATTTTTATATAAATATAATTATTTATATAATTTTTCTTTCCAAATCTGCCAACTATACAGAAGAATTTGATCCGAGATGGCTTTTTTTTTTTTGGTCTTTTTGAGACAGGGTCTCCCTGTAGTCCCAGCTGTCCTGAACTCACTATGTAAACCAGGCTAGCCTTGAACTCACAAGGATCCACCTGCCTCTGCCTGCCAAGTGCTGGGATTAAAGGCATGTGCCACCACGCCTGGTTTCCAAGATGGCTTTTAAGAATGTATAATACACATGGGCAGCCAGATGGCTCAGTGGGTAAAGGCACTGGCCACCAAGCCCAACGACCTGAGTTCAATCCCCAGGACTAAGATGGTGAAAGAACAGAACTGACTGACACCCATGCTTTCATATTCTATACATGTGCACCCACACCCCTATGTACACAACAAATGTGACCTTTTCTTGTTTTTCAAAATGTTTGGGCTACACAGTAAGACCCAGTCTCAAATGCAGGTTTTTGAATCAACAAATAACTGCCCCCTACGGTGAAATTTCTAGGAAAACTTAGCATATGCAAATTCTTATGACAGAGACATAATTCTTTAAGACATACCTGCTTCAACTCATCTTTTTTTTTTTTTTGGTCTTTTTGAGACAGGGTCTCCCTGTAGCTCCAGCTGTTCTGGAACTATGTAGACCAGGCTGGCCTTGAACTCACAGAGATCTGCCTGCCTCTGCCTCCCGCGTGCTGGGAGTGTGCCACCACGCTCGGCTCATCTCATATTTTTTAAAAAATATTTTATTATTTTTATTTTATGTGTATGAGTGTACTGCCTGCATGTATGTGAGTGCACCTGTGTTGTGCAAAGCCTCGGAGGTCAGAAGAGGGCTCCGGATTCCCCTGGGTACTGGAGTTAAGGACAGTTCGTAGCCACCATGTGGGTGCTGGGAATTGAACCTGGGTCCTTTGCAAGAGCAGTCAGTGCTCTTAACAGCTGAGCCATCTCTCCAGCCCCTCATCTCATATTTTTAAGTTCGCAAAGAGCTTCCATTAGAAACTAAGGTACAACTGTTACAGTTACATCAAAACAGAACAAGCAGATAAATTAGAACTTACAATCGGACTCGCAGCTCTTTCTCTGGGATTTTCCATAATATCACCATTAAAAACAAATTATCATTCTCATTCAAAAGCAATCCATTGTTGTTTTTTCTGGACTTGGACTGTGTAAACAGAACTTCCACCGCTTTTTTAATCTGCAAGGATACACAAAGGGCTCATTTTTGCAATCTAGTTTAACATTTGTGCCTTCTCATAGGATACATGTTTTCTTTGCCCCAGCTTTTTTTTTTTTTTTTTTTTTTTTTTGGTCTTTTTGAGACTGGGTGTCCCTGTAGCCCCAGCTGGCCTGGATTCGCTATGGAGACTAGGCTGGCCTTCAACTCACGGAGATCCACCTGCCTCTGCCTCCCGAGTGCTAGGATTAAAGGCATGCGCCACCACGCCCGGCCCCACCTTTTATTTTAACAGTCAAATTCATAATCGTATCAGGATCCTACCACTTGTACTCCGTGCAATGTAAGAATCCACAACCACCTAAGCATCTGCTCCCAAACCTGTTTACCAAAGAGGCGTCCTTTTAACGTCAGAAATTAGGTTACATGGAAGCTTCTCCTGCTCTCCACGAGAATAGAAATATTCAGAAAAGGCGTACAGTGTCACCAGCATCTACCCAAAGCACTACATTTGGTTTTTACGCGCGTGCAAATGCCTAGTAATCCTATGGAGGGCAGGGGAACCCATTTTCCATAGGTCTGAGGGACATCGGCCGAGGAGGTGCTTTGCCAGCAAGCGACCCTTAGGCCTCCGGGCACACACGCAGTCGCGCTCTAGACTTCCAGGCCTCTGGCCCTGCACCCCGCGCCTCACCCGGCCTAGCCACCGTGCTTCCGGACCTCGCCCCCAGTGCCACTCGCCTGCTCTTGGTCCAGCTGCTGCAAGGCGGAGGCGCCCCGAGGCATCGCAGTGGCACTCACAGAGGAGGCAAAGACAGAGGCCGAGGGCACAGCGGCAGGAGAACAGTCCATGTCTTTCTCCTCGTGTGGACGGGCGGAGGAATCACCGCATGCGTTTGTAGTTCGGAACCGGAAACCAGGGGGCAGGACCTCGGTGGCTCTTGGCATCATTTCCGGAAGGGCGCGGAATTTGTTCCCGGCCTTCTTCGGTGGGGGGGTGCTGTCGGTCTCCCTCCGGACCGTACTGCTTCTAGTCGCGCGCGGTCTGGCGAGCCCTGTTGCTCATCCACAGACAAGGAGAGTGCCCTGAGCAGAGGGAAGAGCCGGATACTCGGACTCGGGAGGTGCCGGTTCCTCCACCCGCCTGTGACTTTGGACGTCTGCTATGAAATAGAGGGACGGCTACACCTAGGCGCGTCTAGAGGCGGCGCGAGGGCCGGTAGGATGAGTCGAGCGGGTCTCCGAAGCCTCGGCACAGGAAAGACCCAGGAAGACGACGGTAAGTATGAAGTCTGAATACCGGCAGGTGGAACACGCTAGAACCAACCTCACCTAACCCTGACCTAACCCTTCTCTAGATATGACCCCTGTTAACCAGGACCTCCTGGGACCTTGCAGAATGAAACAGCCTGGGACCCTTGAGCCGTTAGAAGAGGGCCCCAGGGTCCCAGGATGGACTCAGTTCCTGTTATCCGCATGCCTCTAATGTACCAATGAATTCTCAGAACTAGCTCTGCCCCAGGTGAACCTAACAAGTCTTAGAACTAGCCAAACCGCAGTAGTGGCCCGGGTGCCAGGATCTTCTACTTACAAGGAGATGTGCTTATCTGTTTCTGTCTACCCACTTTCTTGCTCTAACTGCAGACTTGACTGTAATTTTAATTGGTGGATTCAAATGCACCCCATAACTGCCTATAAAAAACTATGTTTGAGAGATGATAGGGGCTGCTACTCTCTCTGAATGTTTACTCGAAGTCCAGGGACAGTCCAGCCGTAATAAAATTTTACCTTGCTTTTGAATTTCCTGCGTGGTGACATCTGACTTGTGGCCTGTAATACAGAAGTGTTCGAGACATGCTTTTTTTTTCTTTTTACGAGTGTCTACATTTGTTTTCTTTTAAAACCACGCATACCATTTGGGCTGACCTCATACAGTATCTTTGAGGTGGTTCCAAATCCATACAGGAAACTGCATCTTAATCCTTGAGTGGTACCACCATGCAGCTGTATCATTTGTTTTTGCCACGAGGTTTTACAGTGTAGCTCAGGTTGTTCAAGTTGCTGTGATCCTCCTGTTTCTGCCTCCCACACACTAGGATTACAAGACTGAGCCACCGTTCCTGGCACTTTTGGTGAATATTAAGGATGGTTCCAGTCTTTTTTTGCAGCTAGCTACATGGATTTTTGAGATCTGAAGGAATGGTAGTAGAAGGGTTTGCATGCCAGTTCTCCAAAAGCGCTCCTCCCTGAAAAAATACTGTTCTGCTGCTAATAAGGATCTTATCTTTACTCATCTAGTACAAGATGTTTGTGAAAAACGTCATTGGCGTCTATTCCAGAATCTAGGATAAGACTTTTAGCACAGTGCAGTTAATTGTTACACTAGGCTTTGTGTATCCAGGTTTCCTAGTAAACACAAGAGCATTGGGGCTGTCAGATCCCTTACCTGAATTCATGTTTGAGAACCAGTGTTTTGGATGACAGAGCATTGTAAAAGGGAAGGATAGGATATGAGGCCAGCTAAATAGGCTAAGGAATGAATTATCAAACTTTGGTCCTGAAAGATGAATCTGTTAAGAGTGCTTGCTGCTCTTCCAGACCCCAGTTGATTTTCCAGCACCCAAGGTGGGTAGTTCATAACCACCTGTAATTCCAACTCCATGGGATTCAGTGTTCTTTTTTTGACTCTGAGGGCACCTGTACTCGTGCACACACTCACATACAAATATACATATATGTACATATAATTAAATAATAAATATTTGAAAAACTATGGTTATCCTTATTGGAGAAATCATAAGAATACAGATGAAAAAGGAAAGGTAGTGATGGATTGTACCTTAGGAAAGTTAATAGTCTGATTATGGTAATGTGTGGTGAAAGATGTATTCTACATCTAAAATTCTTTGCTCCCCCTACCCCCAAGTAATAAAGCTTCATTCTCCCCTACCCGCTTGAGTGTGGGCTGGATTTAGGGACTTGGTTTTTTTTCAATATGGTATTGTAAAAGTGATAAAATGTCAAGTGGGCATGGTGCCTGTAATCCTAGTACTTAGGAGGCTGAGGCAGGAAAAGTGCAATGAATTCCAGGACAGTCTGGGCTGCAAAGCAAGATTACGATAAACCATCTTGCACATTATTTATCTTCTGGCATCTCCTTCCCTTATTCACTAATGTTTGAGGCATCTGTGTGTTGTGTGAATGGAGAGAGGGAAGTCAGCTGCCATGTTGTGAAGCTACTTTGGCAATGTGCCAGCACTCACATCCATGAGCTTCATCGTAGAGCCTTCTCTGCAGACTCATGAGAGACTCTAAGCCAGAACCAGCTGCTCCCAGATTACTCACAAAAATTGAAATAATGAGCCTCTGTTAATCTGAATTAGAGTACTTTGTTTTCCATTAATAGATATTTGATAGAGATTTATAGCCCTCATGTCTTTAAATCTATCCACCTGTCTTCACTTAAAACTTTCTTGGACCACAAATTCACTAAGTAAACCTGCTCTTCCTCTTGTATTTCCTTTCCCCATATTGGGTACCTCTAAGCCAAATATGGGGAATTAGCCTCAAGTCTTTCCTCTTCGTCTTTAAATATGATTAAAAACAGTCTTGCCATGTGAGTATGATAGCTTTGACCTATAATCTTCCATTTGGGAGGTGGAGGCAGGAAGATCAGTAGTTCCAAGGTAAGCCTCAGCTACATAGCAAGTTTAGGGCTAAGGCTATACTCTGTCCCAAAAAAATGAGAAACAAGATAGGCATGGTGGTCCTTGCCTTTAATCCTAGCAGGCTGATTTTTGTGAGTTCCAGGCCAGCTAGGACTACAAAATGAGACTGTCTCAAAAATAAATGAATAAAACCTCAGAGATGCAGGGAAACCTTGAATACTCCCAAATGTCCTGAATTTCCAGACAAATGTTTGGGATTAATAGATTTGGGTATTGATAGAGTCCAGGTCTACAGCGACCTTCCCCCAGTGCAGTAAAAACCTCACAAAACAGGTGCTGGGGGCCCCCTTGAAAAAACAAGAATTGAGTCAGCAGCTGCACTGGCCATGAAGAAGCTGATTCAACACAGGACATTTCCTTCATAAGTTTAGAAGATAAACAGGCCCCCGCACCCATGATCAGAGACCCAATTGCTGCAAGAGACATTTGCTGTCTCGCACAAGCAGCTTCCCCCTGATAAATTTCACACTGTACAGACCCCTGCTTCCTTTGGAAGCTTTTGAATTTTTCCTGACTTCTGCATTCCTTGACTCTTATAAAAGCCAGCAACCTGCAGGCTGGTGGCCATTTCTCCCTAGTTGAGGGCCACCTCCATGATTCTCCAATTTCAATAAATTCTACTTTGCTGGAGCCCTTCTGTGTATCTGGGCACTTCCTTCCTGATTTATCTAACAGGGATGAAGAAAAAGCAGATTTTGGGGCTAGGGGGTGTGGGGGGGATCTTTTTATAATCCGATTATTTTAAATGATTTCCACTTTCTCGTAGCCCCTTAAATCTGGTTCTATTTTTGTTTTGGGGTGGGAGTGGTTAAGACAAAGGTCTTATGTAGCCCAGGCTGGCTCAGAACTCTTGTCTATAGCCAAAGCTAACGTTAAACTCCGATCTTGCTTCCACCTTTCAAGTCCTAGAGTCTAGGCATGCACCACTATGCCTACAGATTTGTTGTATTTGAAGCCACTCTCATGATCCAGTGCAGTTTCTCAGGAAATTTTATCCTGGCCTAAGTTTCTATGGCTGCTATTGAGAGCTACATTCACTCTTATTGAGGACTAGTTTTTGGGTTTTTTTTTTGTTGTTGTTGTTGTTTTTGTTTGGTCTTTTTTGATATAGGGTCTCCCTGTAGCCCCAGCTGTCTTGGAACTATGTAGACCAGGCTGACCTTGAACTCACAGAGATCCACCTGCCTCTGCCTCCTGAGTGCTGGGATTTAGGTGTGGGCCACCACGCCCGGCTATGAAACACTTTTTTAAATATTTTATTTTTTGTTTGTTTTGTTTTTTTTGGTCTTTTGAGACAGTCTCCCTGTAGCCATAGCTGGCCTGGAACTATGTAGACCAGGCTGGCCTGGAACTCACAGAGATCACCTGCCTCTGCCTCCTGAATGCTGGGACTAAGGGTGTGCACAAGCACGCCCAGCTTACTAGTTTTATTTTATGTGTGTAAGTGTATTCTCTGCATGTGTGTAAGTGCACCTGTGTCATGCAATGCTTGTGTGCGGAGGTCAGCACACAGGTCAGAAGAAGGTGTTGGATCCCTGGAACTGGTATTATGGAGAGTTGTTAGCTGCCATGTGGGTACTGGAAATTGAACCTAGGTCCTTTGCAAAAGAGTAGCCAGTGCTCTTAATTGCTGAGCCATCTCTCCAGCCCCATGAAGGACTTTTTAAAAACATAGGTGAGGCTGGGAAAATGGCTTGCTGTTCTTCTAGAAGACCTGGGTTTGGTTCCCAGCACCCACATGGTGGCTAATAACTGTCCATAACTCCAGTTCCAGGTGGCTAATAACTGTCCGTAACTCCAGTTCCAGGTGATGCTACACCCTCCTCTGGCCTCTGCAGGCTTTGCATGACATGGGTGCACTTACATTCATGCAGGCAAAACACTCATACACATAAAAATAATAAAAGATTCTAAAAACACATAGGTGCAGGATGTAACTCTTGTTGCCTAGCATGCATGAGGTACTGGATTCAATATTCAGCAATACAAACAAAATATCTTGAGAAGAACGCAGTGAAATTAGGGTGAATTTGGGGGGAGCTGGGCATTATGGTACGTCTGTAGTCCTAGCATTTGCGAAGCAAAGGCAGTAAATTCACAAATTTAAGCCCAGCCCAAGTTACATAGTGAGAACTTGTTTCAAAAATCAATCCTTTGCCTAAGCCTCCCACATACTGAGA